GGGGTCCAACAGCAGCACCGGGACTGGGCTGACCCCCACGTTTGCGGGATTGGCGTGGCTCAGGGCTGACCTGCACCTCAGGGAAGCACCGGTGTGGGTGTGCAGAGCAGCCGCCTGCGGTGGGGAGGCCACCACAGAGGCTGAGGGGAGGGAGCGGGCTCAAGGGACGGGAGGGGGTTACAGCCCCGCGGGTGCCTCTTGGCAGGGAGTTGTTTTCTGCAAAGAGAAACTTCAGGGGAAATGAGATCGGGCGTTGAGGTTCCCCTGTCACATCCAGGTCAACTCTGCCGCTGTGCTGCCAGGCTGTACGGAGGGACGGAGCCCATGGAAATCCGTCTCTGAATAACATCCTTGCTTGAGCCGGGAGACAGGTGGTGACTTCGCTTCTGTCTCTTGCCCTGAGACAAGTCGAGACAGGTCTGTGAAAAGGCTGGTTCCCTTCAGCGAGCAAGAAAATGGGCTTTCCCCCAGCCTAAACACTGCGAGCAAAGTCTGTTCTCAGTGGGTGGTTGCTCAGAGGTCCGCAGACAGACGTACACAGCTTGGTTGCCCAGGGGCCGCAGTGGTGGCCAGAGTGGTGCAGGTGGTCAAGCAGCGTGGCTGGAGCCCTGGCCGGTGCCTGGCAGTTGCCAGAGGGTGAGGAGGCCTCGCCTCCTCACTGGGGAGGCTGTGCCTCTGTGGCTGACGATCCTGATGCTTGATCCATGTGCTGAGGAGGGGGCAGCTGCTGCTGCTGCCGGGGCTTGGGAGCATTTCTGGGCGCCAGTTCAACACAACTGGGCCCAGGGAGAAGGTGACCCTGTGTGGAGAAAGACGTTGAAGTTTGCAGAGGCTCGTGACGTGGGAGGAATTTTCTTTGCGTCAGTTGATGCCTTGATGGGGCCTGTGTAGGTGCGGTTGGTGCTGATCGGTTCCCAGAGGGTCTGTGGTGACTTAGGGGAGGTTGCTTCAGAGGGCAGGGCCTGGTGAGTTGTGGGTGGAAGTGGGACGCAGCTGCTGTGTGTAACCTCCTCTCCCTTGCTCCCCCAGCTTACCTCTCTCGGAACAGCATGGCACGACGCACGCGGAGCAGCAGGGCCTGGCACTTTGTCCTGAGCGGGGTGCGGCGTGAGGCAGACAGCCGGGCAGTCGCCTTGGCCACTGGCATGCGTGGCTGGGGCTACGATTCCGATGGACAGGTAAGCTGACACTCAGGTGGCTCTGGAGCGACACGAAGGAAAGCTTTCCTCTGCCCTGACAGTGGACACTTACTCCAGGTTGAGCTGCTAGTACTTCAGCACGCACAACTGGCCAAAATCAGAACAGACTTAATAAAATAGGCCGTCTAACGAGCCTCCTCCAGGCTCTAACAGGGGGCTGCCAGACGTCTCCCCAAGGCAGGGCTGGCCATAGTTTGCTCCCTAGTTGTGCACCCTGTTTCTCTGCTGCATAGTTAGTTGAGCCAGGGGCTGACTGATGCTAAGCTAAATGCTTTTTTAAGCACATAACGTGTGTGTGTGGTGTGTAAAGTACATAAAATATTTTTTAAATATTCTTTTTTTAAGTAGTGTTCTAAAGATGTGTTTGAACAGGCTCAGTTCTCCAGTCTGGCTTGCTGGATGGCTGTGCTAACTTACGGTCTTTGTGTGGCTGGTAGATGGTGGTGAAGGGAGTGGGGCTGCTTCAGTCTGTGAAGTCTCAGATACCTTTGGGATGAAATTCTCTCATGTTTCCTGCTCTGTAACACGCACATCACTTCTGAAGCTGGCCCGGTGTTCTGGAAGATGGGAACATGGCAGGAAGAGAGTCAGTAAAACAGCGCGAGGAGTGACTTAGATTCACCTCTGCCATCCTCTGCTCCCTTTCCCAGTTCTTGAGTGTACGAGTTCAGTTCCCTTTGCAGGGGTGGGGATGCAAGGAACTGCTCCAGAAGCTTCACATTAGGCTAAAGCCTTACGAGGCCACTGTCAGAGCGTGGTGTCCAAACCCAGTCCCCATGCTGCCAGCAAATGAGCCTTTTCCCTGCAGTCAGAGTCTGTGTTTCTGCAGTAACAGGAACGGCTGGACAGGAAGGGGCAATGAAAGACATAAATCAGGGTTTTTAACATGCAGGCTGGAGAAAGTTGAATGGGCAGTACATAAGTAAGCCATTTCAAATCCCGCTGTCTTACACAGCTCCAAGAGCATGAGTTTAAAGGATTTTTTGTCTCCAAATACTGCATAGAGAGTCTGCCATGGGAGTGAATAACCGGCAAATACATCTGACCAACGTGTAAACTTGGAGTAACTCGCTGTAACCTGCAGTAAGAGACTCCCATGAGGTGACATCAAGCCCTCTTGTAACATGCAGAGCGAGATGAGGGCTTTGCCTCTTATGGTGTCCCGTGCAAGGACACTTTGGTCTCTTGGCACTGGGGAATAGTAAGTCAAGTTTTTGTGTTCATGCATGAAAGTAAACAGAAGCCTTTCAGTCCTCCTGTAGGTTTCCTGTGGGCCTGGCTGCAGCGCTGGCGTGAGGAGCTGTAGCCGACTGCTGAACTGGTTCCCCTTTGTTCTAGCCTCCTGCCCTTTTCCTCCTTGTCTTGTTCATCTCTCTTTTCCCTCGCCAGCTCCCAGGCTCGCTCGAGCGGCAGTTCTCAGCAGCGTGCTCTGCTTTTGAGATGTCTTGGCCAGGGTCTGTAGCTGGCTGTAACCTGCCTGTTGAAAACCGTAGCTTTAGCGCAGGGTTTGCTTAAAAATCTGTGTGTTAAAGACCTGGACTGTCATGCTGCGTGCCTGCTGTGACAGCTCCTTGCCCCTGAAATGCACAAAGTACATCCAGTACCTGGGTCAAGAGGTGTCTGCAGCTCAGATGGATGCTAGCCGGGTCCCAAAGCAGGGCAATTCTGCTGGCATAGCCCCCCACCTCCCTGCGTGGTGGGCCAGGCCAGGGTACGATGCAGCCGTGCTGGCAGTGGTGCGAGCCTGGGGCTGTCCCCACTCAGCTCTGCAGCACGCCAGACCTTTGCCAGCCCAGCTCCCCCAGCCTGGGGCGTTTGGTAGTGACTGTTCCTCTGGCTGTTTGGTTTAACCGTTCCTCCGCTCTCCCCGACAGCACAGTGACTCAGATTCAGAGCCGGAGTTTTCCTCCCTTTCGCCTTCCATCCCGAGCGCCATCCCTGTGACCGGAGAGTCCTACTGCAACTGCGAGAATCAGAGCGAAGCGCCCTACTGCTCCAGCCTGCATGCCCTCCACCGCGTCAAGGACTGCCAGTGCGGCGAGGAGGACGAGTGTAAGGACTGGGTCCCGAATGGCTCTTGGAGTTTGAGGGGGGTGCGGTCCTGGCCCGGCAGCATGGACTGCACCCCAGCACAGAGCCTTTGCTTTCCGCATGGCCCTTATCTCTTTCCCAACGCACGGTGCTCCTTTGTTTACATCTCAAGGCCACGTAGACTGTAGGAAGATTACAAGCACGGGCTTCCTGTGATGCTTCAAGGTGCTGAACTTGTTAATGCAGCAGAGTTCACCTCTGGGGACCTGCTCTCAAATCCGGCTGAGGGCACCAGTGAAACCATCCCTCGTGCCACTAATCCTTGGTACAGCTGGCAGGGTGCCTGGCTGCATGTACTCAGGGCAGAGGGGAGAGGTAGGCAGAGGGTGGGCTTGGGCTGGCTGAGAAAGCCTGCAGTGTAGCGGAGCTACTCTGTGAGCCGATGAGAAGTGCAGGGAGAAAGGAGGCTCTGCTTGGGTCTGTGGAGGCTCGTGTTAGCCAAAATGGGAACTGGTTAGCGCTGACTGCCTCAGGTTCAGAGCACTGTACCATCCCTGGTGGGACACTGCAGAATAATTCAGGCCTTGAACAACTCTTGAGTGTGTAAATCTTAGGATTTACCCTCTTAAACAGTAAAAAATAAAAATAACCCCTCTGCAGGCCTTCCAAACAAATGTCCTCCTGTGCTTTGTTTTGGGCCTGGCTCCCTGAGGGCCTTTGCTCATCCCTGTCCCCTCTGTGCTTCCTGAACAGATTTCGACTGGGTGTGGGACGACCTGAATAAGTCGACGGCCACCTTGCTGACCTGTGACAATCGCAAGGTGAACTTCCACATGGAGTACAGCTGCGGCACCGCCGCCATCCGGGGCAACAAGGAGCTGGCAGACGGGCAGCACTTCTGGGAGATCAAGATGACCTCCCCGGTCTACGGCACAGACATGGTATGTGGGGCAGTCTCATGGGCACACAGAAATGTCCAGGATTTTTTAGGACAGGGACTGGGAGAAGGAAGTACTGCCCACCATAGGAGAAAGCCAGGTTTGAGGCCATCTAAGGAACCTGAAGGTGGACAAGTCCATGGGGACCTGATGAGATGCATCTGATGGTCCTGAGGGAACTGGCAGATGAAGTTGCCAACCGTATCCATTGTGCTGGAGAAGTTGTGGCAGTCTGGTGATGTTCCCAGTGACTGGAAAAAGAGAAGCATGGCCCTGCTTTTTAAAAAGGGAAAAGAGGAGACCTGGGGAACTACAGGCCAGTCAGTCTCACTTCTGTGCCTGGCAGGATCATGGAGCAGAACCTCCTAGAAACTATGCTAAGGTGCATGGAGGTGATTGGTGACAGCCAGCGTGGCTTCACTGAGGGCAGGTTGTGCCTGCCGAATCTGGTGGCCTCCTGCAGTGGGGTTACAGCGTTGGTGTAACTGATGTCACCTGCCTGGATTTGTGCAAGGTGTTTGACACTGTCCTGCATGACATCCTCGTCTCTGTATTGGGTAGGCATGGATTTGACGGATGGACTGCACGGTGGATGAAAAACTGGCTTCATGGTCACCTTCAGAGGGTTGTGGTTAATAGCTCAATGTCTGATTGGAGACCAGTGAGGAGTGGGGTCCCCTGGGATCCACACTGGGACCAGTATTATTTAAGATCTCTGTCAGTGACATGG